CTGACTTGTTTACTACGTAGTGACGGTGATAAAAATATGGAGGAGTAATTTTGCGTTTAAATTTTATTTAAAAATAAATGTCATTTTTAGGGGTCATTTATAAGAAAAAATTATCTTAAAACGTACATTTTGGGTGTCGTGTGTGACATTGTGTCGATTTGCTTTCTTTTTCTAAACAAATTGCTTATTGGGTTTAACTGTTCCAGGAAAATCGAAAAAATAAATTTGTACAATTTTTCTTTTAGATCATAATTATTTTGATTTAAGTAGACTGTTAACAGATTGGAAAGAAAAGTTGGTTTAGTGTCGCGAATCAGACCTTTGGAGAATAGCCATGTATTCAGTGAAGGCGCACTCTTTATAATTTGCAAATAGAAGAGCAATTTATGAATTTGAGTGTTTTATAAATTGTTCACATGCTGTACCGACATTCTTAGAGATTAAACTGCATCAGAATGACTAGATATGTTGCAATTCCTGCTATCATCTAAAATCACAGTCTTTACTTTTTTAGATAACTTGACTATCCCTATACCATGTGGTAGAAAGTCCAGTCCAAATTGAAAAATTGTTTCGCGGTGAACTTCAATTTCGCGTTTAGCAATCTAACACAGATCAGTTGGAGATGTCGCAGATTTTTGTCAACTTTTCTCAAAATGTGGCGGTTCCAAACGTCGTGGACGTAGTCCGCAGTTTTATTAGCCTAGGGAGACACTGATCAGTTGATGTCACTGTGATATAAAAACATTTACCTCTTCTTGCGTCGAACTGCAAGTACTTAGCAAAAGCATCAGCGATAAATTAAAAAATAGTAACATGCTTATTATGTATACCATCCACTTCAGATATAGCTGACGTGGTGCATAAAACACTAAATTATAACTAATATTTACAGTAGTTATAAACCACAGAATCATAGCGACGACGATTCTTGTGCTGAATATGTTGTTAATATGAAGGGCCAACATAGTAAGATCATGATGAAGTAGTGATAGTTGTTCAATTTTAGTTATCTGTGTGTCATCTAGATTGCATTTTCTTTCTAATACTGTCTCTTCTTCTCTGATGTTTTTATTCATTTCATTGTATTCATGGGAGATTATTTGTAATAGATTACAAAGAAACATGACATTAAAAGAACATACCATTGGAGGGATGTAATAGAAAAAATGTTCATAAAAATTGTCAAATACATTAGCAAGTGCGTGATTGCTTAGAGTTAAGAGAAGAACAATTTTTTCGAAGCGAGTAGGTAGTTTTATCCTCTGAACTCTAGGTCCTGATGTTAACTTCTGTCTCGTTCTTTCTAGTTTTTGTAAATAACGTTCTAAGGAGTTTTTGCGCATACAGGTGAGAGCAATAGTGAAAACTAACGTGAAAATGCTGACCAGTGACGTAAGAAAGTCAACATTGTCCAGAAAGTTGTACAAACCTCGATACACAAGGGTATCATACAGCCAGTGTCCAAAGCAATATAAGTAGAATATGTATAAAGGAAGACACCAAACGTAGGCAGTTATTTTTGAAAAACGGCTTTCGTTATTCGAATTAAACTGCCATACTCCATGAATTTTGTAAATAATTTGGAGCCAAACCGGAATGTCTTCGAGTGTGTGCATGTTTACAGACTAAAGTTAACGTAAAAATAAACACGCACGTGCATTATTGATATGTACAACTTTCGAGGAAATTTTTTACTGATAATCTACGATGTAAATAATAAATTTCTTGGATTAAATTGTAATGATTAATGAACATTTTACTCCAGTATTAATAATAATACGGTTAATACCAAATGGTTTTGCAGGTTCTGTTAAAAAAAAAAAAAAATTGTCCAAGAATGGGCGACATTTATGAGACTATTTCCTGAAGAAAATTTCAGCCAATAAAATTGATAGAATTTTCAAATTTTGGCAAATCCAAGGCGAGTTATACCAACATTTTTGGGAGCCGGGTACTTATCGATCGAGTTCCTTGTATGAACCAATGACAGCAAAGTTCGAAAGCGACAACTTTTCTGCATGAACCAATTAAAAAAAATATATATTTTAATTAATGAAATCAATAACAATGGTAAAACAATTAATTTTCTTTATTGTGATAATTAAGTAAAATAGAAAGTCAAAAGATAAACCCCACTCATTTAATTTTTAATGTACGTATATAGAATTTTTTGAAAAACATGTTGCTAAAAAATGTGAAGAGAAATAAGGATTTTGCAATTAAGCTCCGCCCTCTTGGCCCACGACAAATAAAAAAAATCATCACAATTGAGGTAGGGCGGGTGGGCGGGGTATATATTTTGGCATTTTTTCTTAACATACGTAGTCATCTTTTCACAACAAAAATTTAAATCAGATGACTGCGTATATTAAGGCATACTATAAGCCCGGCCCACCCACCCTGTCTCAATCGTGATGATTTTTTTTACCCGTCGTAATTCCTGGGTGAAGCTTAAGTGCAAAATCCTTGTGAAATATGTTCTTGCGTAATCATGTTGTTTAAAGCAAACTGTATGTATTAAGTAAAAAAGAAAGTCAAAAGATAAGCCCCACCGATTTAGTTTTTAATATATGTATCATCTAAATCATCTAAAAGTCCAATTTTTACTTTTTTAAATAACTTGACTACCTCTGTACCATGTGGTAGAAAGTCCAGTCCAAATCGAAAAAATGTTTTACAGTGAACTTCAATTTCGCGTTTAACAATCTAACGCAGATCAGCTGGAGATGTCGCAGATTTTTGTCGACTTTTCTTGAAACGTGGCGATTCCAAACGTCGTGGCCAATTCGGAATGTCTTCGAGTGTATGCATGTTTATAGACTAGTAAAATGAAAGTAAAATAAACACGCACGTGCGTTATTAATAATTATGCATATTAGTTGATAAAATTTGTTATTGATAATATACGATGTAAATTGTGGATTCGTAGTCTTTTTTTTGGATTTAGGTAGTACATAGTTACAAGAAAATTGAAAAAATAAATAAGCACTATTTTTTTAACACAATATTTGTAAAACTTAATTCATTTACTATTTATTATTTATTTACTAGTGCTATGTATCAGATCCAGGAGATAGTCGTGAACCACTGAAAATATCCGGACTGGCGCTACCTTACAACAATCAAATGTCGCAACTTCTTACAATTTGCTTCTAAAAAGCAGGCTTTGAATTTGAACGCTTTATAAAAACTTGCCCATACTGCATTCAACATTCTTAGAAGTTAAACTGGATCAGAATGATTAGATATGTCCTGCTATCGTCTAAAAACACTATTATCACTTTTTCACAAAATCTGACTACCTTTATACCATGCAACATTTAAAATTTCCAGATTGCACTCAACATTTTTAGAAATTAAACTGCATCATTATGACAACGTATGTCGCAACTCCTGCTATCATCTACAAAATACAAATATTGTCTTATCACAAATTTTGCATACTCACAATATGACAAAAATTCCAATCCAGGTCGAAAAAATTTCTTGCCGTAAATTTTAACTTGCAGTTTAGTAACCTAATAGCGATCAGTTGGAGATGACGCACATTTGTATCGAGTTTATTTAAAATGTAACTATTCCAAACATCGTGAACGTAAACTACGGTTTTATTGGCCTGAAAAAACACAACTAATCTCAGTTTTACAAAGTTATACTCACTTCTGTTTGTATGTCGTTGTAAGTACTCAGCAACATAATTAGCCATATCGCAAAAAAAAACTGCATAGATACTGCAAACATTCTTGTGAAATGATCTTCTATATCGTGTGCCATGAAGTATAGGACACAATAAGTATTGTCAACAACATAAAAGAACCACATTATCATGGCAGGGATTGTTAGGATGGTAAATAAATCGTTAATTTGGAGGGCTACAGTAGTCAGATCGTGATGAAGAAGTGACAGTTGTTGTACTGTGGTTATTTTCGTGACTAACTCGTTTTGTTTTAAATATTGTACGTTTCCTTTGAATAGACGGTAAATTATTTTTATATCTACACTTTCTTTTTTTATGTTAGCATTAATAATTTGGTACTGCTGATGGATTGTCCTTAAGATGTTACCAAGAAACATATGGTTTAACGAACTCACCACGGGAGGGATGTAACAGTAGAAGTAAAAATAAAAATCGTCAGTAGAAAGAATAAATGCATAATTGATCATACTAGAAATGAGAACTATCTTTGCGAACCAAGTGAACAGTTTCGTTTCTTTCTTTCCATTTCTTGTGGATAAATTTCGTCTTATTTCCTCTAGTTTTTTTAAATAAAATTTCAAGTGACTTTTCCGGGCATGGGTGACAAAGATGGTTAATGTCATCGTAAAAATACTAGCTGACGAAGCAAGAATGTCTGCATTTTCCATAAGATTCGAGAAATATTGATACGTAACTTTGTTGCGTAACCACTGTCCAAAACAATAAACGTAGAAAAAGTGTAAAGGAAAAAACCACAAATAAGAAGTTATTTTGGAAAAACATGTTCCGTCTCCGTTAAATTCCCAAATTCCGTAAATTTTGTAGATAATTCGGAGTCCCAAAGGAACGTCTTCAAGTGCGTTCATTTTTGCTTTTATTGGGTGAAAGTAAATAAATACATTTGTAACAGAGTGTAGCAATCGTTATTATTTGTAAATGGTGCTTGATGGAATAAGCGATTAATTTGATTAAGGGAAATTAAAAGTAAAAAGGTCACCATCTTCCCGACTGCGCCATCGTATTATAGTTGTAGCAAACAAAAAACTCATGTTTAGATAATAGATAATTCGATTTTTTATCGTTATATCGATTGCTGTTCCATTTTGTTCCTGGGCATATAAAAACAAATGTATATGAAAAACATCAAATCAAAGAAACTAAAAACCACGAAAATGTAGTATCTCCAGCTGATCTGTGAAAACAATAATATAATGTATAATAAGCAATAATTTACAGTTATAGACTTGTCTTACGTTTACCAGCAAAAATATTTGCACCAAAACACCACTAATCAAAAATTTTATTGGTTGTACCAATGCTGTCGCCAACGCCCTGGTCGCAAAATTGAAATTTTTTAAAATGATTAACCATCGGACAGAACCAACACCTAAACCGTAGGCAAAGCCATATAGTAAAACGGTCCCAACACACGTAACGAACAACCAACACTCTGGTGCCTCGCCACTAGTTATCTATAAAAGAGTGAAGCAAATACCAAACCTACAGCAGTACTTACCGTCAATTGAAAAACTATAGATAAGGCGGTTGTTGCAAAAAACAGCAAAGCTAAACTAATTAACAATAAAGTTTTAGGTCCCAAACTGTCAATAACTACAAGAGCTATAATGGTGCCCAGCGTCATACATAATCCAATACCGATTGTAACGTACTCCGGCTCGTCGTTCCTCATTCCAAAATTGTGAAGAACTTCACTAGAGTAATAAATGAACTTACGCCAAATAAATTTGAGTTTTTTTGTCACCACTCACAACGCTAACTCCACAAAGCTGTTCGCTGACCGTCACAATGAAGCAAAGCAAAAGTTTCTTACTCCAAATGTTCTTTACAGTCATTTCCGGTGCCAAACCCAACGCGTTCTGTTCTTGTTTCATGTTTTCAAAAGCTTCGGTAACTTTCGTGCTGTTCCTGAGCCATATCAGCCGCGACATGGCACGGGTTTCGTCTTGTTTACGAAACAGGATGTGCTTGGGCGATTCTGGGCAAAACTGCAAACAGATTATCTAAAAGAAACGTGGAGGTGTTTTCGCTAAGCGGTACCCCGTACCCCGAATGTTAATGGTATGGTAGCAAACATGATGGCCATAATCCAGCTCACGCGGCCCACGAACATCCCGATGACTTGAGATGTGACCACAGAAATCATGACGAAGAATTGGAAGAAGACTATCGCTGTTTTTTGGTTTTCCGTTGGTGCGATGTCCCACAAGTAAAAAGCGGATGCGGTAGAACATATCCCAGTACTCACTCCCACGTTGAACCGTCCCGAATTTAATATTAGCAGAGAATCCAGCTCCTTCGACAGGTTCATTAAAGCTTGACCCAAAAGGGCGAAAAAACTGATGTGGAAAAGAACTTTCCTAGGACCGAACTTGAAGTTGGTGAAAATAGAGCCTATGAAGGCGCCGAAAGGGAACATGGACGACGTCATTGACCATGTAGCGTGTTGGTATTCCGATTGGTTGGCTTCGATTTTAACTGTCCAGTCTATTAGGGCCTAAAGCGGAAAAGTTCAGGGAGAGCAAATGGTGATGATACGTACCTGGTGGGGGATGTTGAAGGCGGTCATGTGGTAACCATGATGGAAAGCTCCAGCTAGACAACAGGAGAAAATGGCGAAGAAAAGCTTTTTGTTCAGCTGTGACAGGTTTAACATTTTGATGTCAATATTTTGACGTTTTGAGTATATATTTTTTCAAATGTTATTAAAGGTAGAAGTGTGAAATGTTCGCTTAATCAGCATTCAAGTTTAATGGATTTAACTGAGTACAATCAATAGGGACAAAGCATTTAGAAAAATTACCGCCACTTTCAATATGTACCTTCTAGATGAGATACCTATATGGCTCCGAATAATTTATCATTTTCATGGAATTATTCAGTTTTCATGTGGAAGTCGTGGTTTTCTTCTAGGGCAGTTAGTTCCTCGCGTGTGTCCCATACCATTGTTTTTCTTGTACTATTTTGGTTGTGTATCATGGTTGATCGACCTTATTAGTCTAGCTGAACATACGACAATAAAAGTTCACCTCGCAATATCCGGTTTAGGTATTTTATCGACGACAATATTGTTCGTAATGTTCACCCTAAGAAACAATACGTTAAAATTATTACTTTTTGAGCTCGCCGAAGTTAAATTAAAATTTTCAGTTGTATCACACAAACGAGGAAGAGATTGTACCAAAACTCTATTATTTATAGTAATTGCATTACATTTTTGTTTAAGCTGGAATTTTCGACATTGGTTTTCTTATATGCTTTATTATTTTATTCCTGTAGGTGCTGGTATTTTCAATCACCTTTTTCTAAGTGACATTTTTGAGTCAGTTCGCAGTATGTTCCACCACATCAATCAACAACTACACAGAGAGGTTGCCACTATAAATCCATCCACAGCTTTTCCTCTGGCAAAACCTTCAAAATCTCAACAAGAAAAAGAAAAAACTTTCATCTTACACCAAATTCAAGAATTGGCTCTTCTCCACCACGATTTGGTGTCTTTATCCCTGAACATCAATAAACTTTTCAACGTGACCACTGGAATATCGATGGTGACATGGTTCATCTATATGGTTGATATCATTTACACTTTCCTGTACACAGTATTAAAAACTGACAAACTAAGTCTTAGACAATTATCGTACATTATGTTAAATGTGTCTTTCTTCTTGTTGTGGCTTTTGATCATGACTCAGTTGTACAGTCGAACCCAAGAAGAGGTAAGATTTTTGTCCAATAACTTTTTTTTTTATCAAAGTTTCTCTAGGCAAATAAAATTGTCAGCTATGTGCACGAAATATGGAACGAATACTCCGAAAAAGAAAATAAAGATGACAGAATGCGTCATCTTCAGTTAATTTCTGTAGCATTCATGAACAACAAGCTGTGTTTTACCGCCGGAAAGCTTTTTTGTTTAGATGCCACATTTACTCATATGGTACAGTATGTAATTTAATTTAAAATGTGGTAATGAAGGGTTCTTTTAGGTGATAGGGGCAGTTCTGACGTATGTGGTGATCTTGATTCAGTTTGATTTTTGAATATCGTCAAGATCTGTTGGCAATTATGTTATTAACGACTAAATAAATGAAGTAAATAACAAGAATAAGAAATAACACAATTATTTTTTTCTCATCCACTTTTAAAGCACTGGGCGATTATTTTTTAACACGTAGGTATACTTCGTATAACACTCATCAAGGTGTGTTTGTTGTAAACATGTCAAAAGAGAACCCTTTTTTTGTGTATTTTGTACAATAAATATTAATTAATTGAATGTATTATTAGTATTGATTACTTGGCACTACCAATGGTGAATACGTATGTATATATTAAAAATTACCACGGTCTTTTCGTGGACAATTTTTAATTTAGCTTAAGTGCAACAGCAACATTACTTGAATTATACAATCCTGTCTACAAAAAATTCGAAATGAGCTTTTGTCCTGAATTCGTAATTCTTAAAATGGATATTATTTGTTAACGGAAATTATGTCTTACTCAGTAAGTGGAAATTTTAACACACAATGAGTTTCTTAGACGGCATACCTGTTTGGCTTAAAGCAATTTACAGGTTTTATGGAATTCTCCAATTTTCAAATTCACATAACCGGCTGCAAAGAATATTAGCACGTTTGTGGTGCCTTCCTTTAAATGTATTCTATATTTATTCAACTATTATGTGGCTTCTCCAAGTCACGTCTTCTCATTCGAGTGAAATGATTGAAAATATAGACCTTCTGATATCACTTACTGGGGTCATATCCATGCTGGTGTCAATCGTTTCAAATTATCACAGAAGAAATAAACTTAAACTCCTTTTGGACAAAGTAGATGACATCAAAACGAAACTATCGTCACGAGAAAAGCAGCCACTCTTAAACTGGATCCAAATCGCTCTAGTTTTCCCAGTGTTAATCAACTATTTATTTTTCTTTTTCAGCAACAGTTATTTGCGTTACGTTTTCTACAACTACATCCCTCTCGGAATGGGCTTCTTAACCCATTCGTTTCTCGCAAATATTTTAAACGAAATTCGGAACCTCTTCAGTACCATCAATGTAGCTTTTCAGAAACAAGTAGACGCAAATTCAGTCGATTTGTCAAAAATATTTCCTTTCACAAACCCGGAGAAACTGAAGAAATTTAAAAAAGCAGAAACTGCTTTCACTATTAGGCAAACCGAACAACTAGCCAGCATCTATTATGAGTTGGTGACTATAGTTGTACAAATCAACGATCTTTTCAATGTTACTACTATGGTTTCCTTGGTCATGTGGTTCGGGTTTGTTATGGATGCAAGCTACGACTTTGTCTACTTTTTGGTGAACAAAGAGGAACCAGAGCCTCTTCTGGAGTTTTGGTACATGGAGGCACATTTTGTTTTCTTCGTTTTGTGGTTTTTTGCATTTATGCGGATGTTTAGTGACACCCAAAAAATGGTTTGATGATTTGGTTTTGTTTTGAGTTTCCTAGTTAGTTGTTTTAGTCAAACCGGACTGTTAGCTACATTCATGATCTGTGGAATCAGTATGCTGTGAGAGGAGAAGTCGATGGAAGAGTGAGACATTTACAGTTTGTATCCACCAAAATGCTTAATATCAGGGTTCGATTTACGGCACAAGATTTTTTTCATTTGGACTGGACCTTTTGCCACACGGTAATTGGCGGAAATATTTTGGGTGGAAAAAAAACGGTGATTTTGTTTTAGATGATGGCAGCAGTTACAACTTACCTAGTCGTATTGATACAGTTTCATATCTAATTTATTTCCAAATATTTGTTATCTTGACCTGTTTTTTTTCAAATGTGTTTTTCATAAGTGTAAGTTTTAGAACAAACACAGATTAAAAATAAATTTTGAGATAACTGAAGTCTTGCTTCTCTTGCACCGGGTCCGATGTCCATTCTTGGTTCAGTTTCATGTTTGAATGTACCATAATTGGCAGTGACAATCTTTAGAATTATACTAGATTAGAAATTAGTGGCTATTTAAATCGTAATTTATTTCAATATATGAGACAGTTATAGTCTTCGTGTAAAAGCGATAACATTGGTCCACAAAAGGAAACACGATTGACAATAATAATCTATACTTCATAATATATATTTCAGCTTTTCTTAAGTTTTATAGTTTTCTTAAAGCATCTAAGTCATAATATTTTTGAATCATTTATATCTTGAATTTACACACAGTATGTGCCCAAGAATTACAAATCTTGTATACATGATTGTGAACAATAAATAAGTTTTTAATGTATATTTTTAATTACTGATGCTTTAATAGTATATTGTACATCGAGGGAGTGGCATGGGGAAAATGACTCTTTCTTCTGAACTCCATAATTTTAAATTTCATGAAAGATCCTAAAACAATTCGTGAAGTTGCTGAATTTATTGTTTCCAAGTCAATAAAACACACGATCAAGCGCACTGTATAAATTTCAGTATGTGTGCTGGGATTAACTGCTTAAGAATTTCAATTTATACAAACATGGACCTTGTAGTTTAGTGTGATAAATCGGCACTTTATTTTACGATGAAATGAAATTCAGGATCAATAATAATCAGATAACAAACTATGACCGTCAGACATTTATTTCTCATAGATATTAGTTATTTAACCCACCACACGCAACAAAAATATATATCTGCAGAATACACCTAATGGAAAATTTACATATCATAAATAACCGTCGAAACGATAATTAATTTAAATATTAAACATGGCCGACATAAATAACTAACAAGTTATTATTAATTGCCTTACGTTTTTCCATCGAGTAGTTGTTATTTTTACAACAGATACATCAATGTGTTTAATTTTGGAAACTCCTATAGTTCTCCATTGGCTGTACAAACTACTAGGGATTGTCCAATTTTCCCTAAAACCATCACCGTCAAGAATTCACGATCGACTCTACTGTTTACCTTTTTATTTCTTGTTTTTGTACACATGGTTTTATTACAGTTTTATTCTCCACCGCAACACTTCCGGAATAGTTAACCTTTTAAAAGATCTAACTAACATCGAAACCTTCTTATATGTGGTCATCGGCTACCTTTGCTTCTATACACGAAGCAGCAATCTAAGATCTCTCATCTTAAGAATCAACACAGTCAAAGAAAAAACAGTTGCTTTTTCAACCAGAAAAGCGCCGTTGAACAAATGGATAAGAATCAATAGTGTTACCCTATTTTTCTTGACCGTGTCTTTTATCCCATTCATCACAAAGCAACCTATCAATTTCATCTACCCTTCCTTTTCCCAACTTTTGATTGTTTTTGATGTTCTTTTTCTCAATGATGTCATGCATTGCATCTACGCAGAATTCGAGTCGATTAATCGTCACTTGCACCGTCAGATCAACTCTGTGTCTTTGTCGCAGATATTCCCTTTAACTAGACTGGAAAAAATCAAAACTTTGGAAGACGAAGAAATAGCTTCGAGCGTAGAGCAAGTCCACAAAGCATCGCATCTTCACTACGAGCTAGTCAAAATAGCCGTCCAAGTTTCAAAATGTTTTGAAATTACGATAGTTTTTTCTTTGCTACTCTGGTTTGAACACATGATTGACGACGTGTACTATCTCGTCGATATTACCATTACTGGTAGATACAAACTCATTGACTACGTGTACAATGGAGCTCTCCTCTCCAATTCGTTCTATTGGTTGTTCGTGATGATTAGGATTTTTGTTCGTGTGAAAAGTGAAGCTAATAATACGAGCACTTTCGTGCACGATATGTGGAATAAATGGACCGAGACGAGTAAAAGTGACTGCAAGATTCGCCACCTTCAGTTGGTGTCAATGAGGCTCCTTAATACGAAAGTTTATTTCACTGCAGGAGATTTATTTAGTCTGGATTGGAGTTTAGGGCATATGGTAAGTAGGAAAAATTTCTGTGGCTATTTATTCAAAATGTTTTCCAGCTAGTGGCTGCTGTAACAACATACGTTGTGATTTTGATTCAGTTTAACAAATCCACGTGATCTTCAGAATGAAATGCAAGACGAAATACGCTTTAACTATTTCACAATTGTCTGTTGCACTTAAGTTGTTAAATAAAGGATACAGCTTCTATTAATATAAATTCAGTGAACAGTTAGACATACTATTTAGTTACCAAAACAGTGTTTTGTTAATAACGGGTGTACAATAAAAAATATATTTGCAGTAGGCGCTAGAACGAAAACTTCACAATTGTGGTAACAGGGCAAATAATATCGAAGCGTAAGTAGGCAACCAAATATACTTCAGAGCATGGATGGGTACATCACTACCATCTTAAATACAAAAAAAAGTGACATTTGACGGATTTTGACGTTCTGGATTTCCTAACCCTAACGTTCGTATCGCCTTTTTGCAGTTTAGTTGTTATTTCATCTTTTGCTTTGTTTGTGTGATAAAAATCAGTTCTTTTCAGAACTAGCGTGTGAGTTTTGCGTTTAAAGTCATTTTTTAACAAGAATGGCTTTTTCTGAACGACACAAAATATTCATGGTAATGTCGTACTACCCAAACGGTGTAAAAGAAGATGGAACTTGGCAATATTCAATTGGATTATGTATGGCAGAGTTTCGAGAAGAATTCCCTGATTTTGCCGTAGAGTATACGCAGTTTCGACAAACTTTAAATGTCTCGTTAAAAAATTTTCAAGAAAATGGATCTGTGACACGAAAACCTGGAAGTGGCCGTCCAAAAAAACGAACTCCAGAACTAATTGAAGAAGCGAGAGAAGTAATGGAAGAAACCCCGGGTACTTCTATCCGTCATTTATCACAACAACTTGGTTTGTCTGTTGGCACCTGTAACACTCTTCTAAAAAAGGATCTTCATTTGTTTCCTTATCGTCTCACATCTGTACATGAATTACATCCAACAGACTTTCCTCAAAGAGTTCAATACTGTGAATGGTTTCTGAATACTCTGGATATGGGCGACCACCTTGAAAAAACGTTTTTCACCGATGAAGCATACTTTCATCTTAGTGGCTATGTAAACTCACAAAACACAAGAATGTGGACTTCAGAAAATCCACACTTTTTCATTGAGTCGCCCCAATATCCCCAGAAAGTTGGTGTTTGGGCTGCAATTAGCCAACGCAGAATAATTGGTCCAATTTTTTTTGACGGTAAAGAGGTTTTTAGTATTTTAACAACAAAATAATGATATTTTCATTTCAGGAAACATAAATGCTGCAAGATACCGTGACGAAATTTTAAGTGTATTCTTAAATCAGCTGGATGATGAAGAATTAGTGTATGGTTACTTTCAGCAGGACGGTGCCACTGCTCATACAACTGGAGAACTGAAAATAGGATTATTAGTCGCAATACACCAAATAACTGGCCGCCTAGATCATGTGATCTCACTCCTTGTGACTTCTTCTTGTGGCCACATATAAAAAATTCAATTTATACAACACCCATAAATGACTTGGAAGAATTACGGAATAGGATAACACACAAAATTAATGATATTAATAATAGTGCAAGTGTTTTAGAAAATGTGGCAAATGCAGTAAGGCGAAGGGCTAGGTTGTGTCTACAAGAAGGGGGTTCTCACTTCCAGCATTTGTTGTAATGTAATTCAAAATGTAACATTTATCAGGCCTTACATAATGTTCAACAGAATTATGCAGAATGCTTTCATATTGTTGTTACAGAAGATTTCAATAAAGTGTCGTAGACTTATCTTTTCTTTTACCTTCTTAAGAAACAAAGTGTTGTAATGAACTGATCTTTTCAATAACCAGTATGATTTGCATACTTGCATTTATTTTTATATTTCAAAAGTAAATCGTCAAAATAAAACACTAGTCACTTGTTTTCTTTTGTAATTACTGTGGCCGGTGAGAAGAGAAATGAATGAAGTGGACTGTAATTATTGTTTTATTGTACACAACACTGGATAGTAACAGTCCACATAACTAGTCTGCTATCGAAGGACTAACAAACTAAAAAATGTTCAAGTGCGGTAAAGGCAGATGTGAAAGGGTATGGTCCGCCCAACCCTTTGGTCTTCGACTATGGTACGAGCCGCCGATAAGAAATGCCGCACTAAAAGGCCGCCGCCGCCCCTTGACAGAGGGGGACCACCCAGCAAAGAGTGCCATCAACAAAAGCGCGGGTCGCCCCAAAGAGTGCTGCCGGTTGTACAGGCCGTACCAGTAATTAATTATTAATTTTATTTGAATAATTTGCGTCAAGCAGATTTGCATTAAAGTGAGAAAATGTTTTCTAACCAAACATTATTTGCCGCTAAATGTCATTCTCAATGACCTTCAGTTTTTACGTGACTCTTTCTACACTTTAAAAAAGCCGCAAACAATTGAATTTTCAGCGCCTGCCCCAAATATATTTTTTATTGTACACCCGTTATTATTTTCAAGATACAGAAGTACAGTGTCCTTAAATTCGAAACTGTATCAAAATCACCAAATAGGTCATAACCGCTCCTATCATCTGCAACCACAACAATAAAAAAATATATCCAATTATTACAAATTCAAAAGCATACCATGCGGAAGAAAGTATGATCTAAAGCAAAAAAATTTCTGGCAGTAAAACGCAGCTTGGTGTTTAGCATCCTTAGAGAAACCAGGTGAAGGTTTCGCATGTTTTCGTCTATGTGTCCGTTCGTGTAGTACTTGTTCCATATTTGATGGACGTTTTGTGTTGTCAAATTCGCCTACAATACGACAAAAGTGGAAGATTTAAGAAAATCCCCTTCTTACTTCTTTCGCCGTACGGGTGTACATCCGAACCATGATTAGCAGCCACAAAAAAAAGAAGGATAAATTCAATATCTCCGAGCCTATACCCAAACGAGAACTTTCTACTTTTAACAGATTATTTGTTAAAATATAGGCAACCTCGATAACGTATGCAAACCACAATATTGTGGAAGTTATCGTGGTAACGTCAAAAGATTTGTTAACGCCGATTGCCAGCTGCACCAAATCGTAATGAAGGTGCGACAACTCGTGGACTTGACACAAGTTGGAAAGTTTTTCGTTTTCTTTTAACTGTTGAATTTTCGAAGCTTTAGCAAAGGGGAATATTTCGTATAAATCCACACTATGTAATTGTTTTTCTAGACGCTGGTTGATACTTTTAAAGTGACAACGAATCTGCTCGAGAATTGTGTCCAAAAAGACGTGATTTAGGTATGCAACGCCTTGCGGAATGTAATAATAAACCATAAAAATGTTCCTTGTTTCAAAGTCTGGGAACAGAAGAGCACTCAAAATTAGTGTTGGAGCAATTAAAATTTTGTACCAATCTTTCTCCTCTTGTTGGAAAAGCGGTGTAAATGTTTCTTCAACGACGTTCAGCTTTAAGAGAAGCGATTTGAGAGTGTTAGATCTTTGATAAAATGACACTAGGGATGTTGTTATGAAGAGAAAACCCATGCTAGATATCACTGCGTGAACTGTTAATAATTTCGACCTCATGCTCAACAAAAAAGACCCCCACAAGAAGGAGTAGTAGTAGTAGATGATAAATACTGGTAAACAACATATACGTGATATGAAACACGAAAACGTAGAAGTGGAACTGCACGAAAATTGGATAACGCCAACAAGACGTAACATTATTCTTTGCCAAAGAGGAATTTTCTCTAGAAGACACATGTTTTGAGAATATTTAGAGGTCTCTAAAATATTGATTAACCGTCGGTTTTGTTATGTTGTTTTGTTATTAGTAAAGTAGGATTTAAAAAAGATAATTAATTGTTGATCTGACTCGATATGACAAAATGGGATTAGGAAACTTACAGATCATCGAATAAAACGGCGATTGTCTGCTTCTTGAAGTAAATCTTGATTTCGGTTGAAAACCATAAGTCGTTTTTTTTGTTTCATAACGTAATAGCAGATATATTTTTTATTTGTTGCCACAAATTTTTGCAGAAAAGTTTGATATCAATTAGTGCCAGCTTGATTGAGTGCAATAAATGTAACACAACAACAAGGAAGACATGAACTTCAAATTTAAATATTTAGTGCAATACTGAGATCATACACATTTTTACGAGTGTGCTGTTCTCAACTTTACCTGTGAAATTAAAATCCGTAAGTTGCAAGTGTAATTTTTCCCGTAACACAAGCACTATTGTAGTTAAAATTTGTAGAGTTTATTCATTAAAAAAATCTGAAAAAGAACAACACAAAAGTGCAAAACTTTGAATAAAACAAAAAACAACATAATTTTGGTTCGCTGGAGTTGTATTTGCCCACCATCTTGTTATTAAGTAAATTGGATAAACAAACCTAAACCAAATTAAATCGATGTTTTTGGTGATCGTCGCAAAAGCGCGTGAATGCTCAACTCACTTGTATAAATGTGCCTGCTTGACGAAATTCCCTTCTGGATTAAAATAGTTTACCACTTTCATGGCGTCATTCAGTTCACTTGCTCCTGTAAAAACCCTTCAAACTCACTCTCACAGTTTATTTCCGTTCTTTGGTCATTTGTGTTATTTTCCTTCTACAGTTTTTGCAGTGTTTTGTCGTTTTATTTGTTCGTCCGCGAGATCGAATCAAATCTTGTAAAAGTCGAAGTGATAATCTCTACTGCGAATATTTTTTTTTCACTGATATCAATAGTAATATATTTTTTAAGACGCAACAAACTCAAAAAGATACTTAAGGAGTTGTACGAAGTTAAAACAGATTTTTCACTTTCAGCTCAAAAAGACGGTAACAACTGGATTAAAATATCGTTGTTTGTTACAGTGGTGTTAAACTTATGTTGCCTGCCAAACTTGAATAAGTCATGGATGTCGCTTTATCTCATTCTTGCCTATTATGTGATACCAGTAGGAATGGCGTTTCTCAACCACCTATTTTTAAGTGACATTCTAGAAGCCGTTCGAGTTGAATTTAACACCATCAACCGGGAGTTGGAAAGAGTCGTCAACCGCACAGATCTGAACCTCATTTTTCCCTTAACAAAAATCTCAAAAATCAAACAACTCGAAGAAAGCGATAAGACTTTCAGCATTCTCCGAATCGAAGAGTTGTCTTTTCTTCACTACAACTTGGTCCATCAACTCCTTCAAGTACTCAAACTTTTTGATGTCACCATTATCATATCCATGGTGTTGTGGTTTGGCTACGTCATTATCCTCACGTATAAGTTTATGGAACCCATTGTTGATGGTTATTTAGAAGATCTAGCCGAAATATTGTACGTAACAACTAATCTTCTGTTTTATTATTTGTGGCTTTTTATTCTGATTTCCACTCTCAGCCGGACTCAAAGAGAGGTAAACTTTTGAATTCGAATTTCCTTCGTAAGTAAACTTTTCAGGCGAACAAGACTTCCGTTTATGTTCATCAAATTTGGAATCAGTACTATAGGAAAGGGTGTTTGGATGAAAAAACACGTCATCTGCAATTGATCTCGGTTAGGATGCTCAACACCAAGCTGAGTTTCACCGCCAGAAATTTCTTCAACTTGGATGAAACTTTCTTCCATACGGTAAAAGATTTAAGCGTGTTGTGTGTTTGAAAGAAGGAATTCTTTTAGATGATGGCGGCGATTGTGACATACATGGTGATTTTAGTGCAGTTCGGTTTTAGGAGTTTTTAATAGATACTCATTCAGTTCAGAAACAACAATGTAATAATACTTAATTAGTGCCATTTTAGCGTAATGAAGAACCTGTTGTATGACGCTTTATTTATTTTTATTTTATTATCTAACCTAAAAATCATAAAAATACCGACCGACATACTTTTTTTTGATTTAGTAATTTGTCATGATACGTTTGAATTATTAAATATTTTCTCTAGTTAACATTGTTAATGTGTGTACACTGCGCATTTTTGTTACAAGTATCAACATGTGTATTTTAGAAGACATTCCTTTTTGGCTGCGGATAATTTATCGTCTTCACGGAATTATCAATTTTTCTTGTAGCACTTCGGGGTCATTTTATTCGCGATGTTTCACTCGTCTATGTTGTGTCCCTATCTTAGCTTTTTACACTTACTGTTGTAGTATGTGGTTGGTACGTCGCATAAACGGATCTAACACAACCGTCGACAAAATCGATCTGATTGTTTCTTCTGTTGGTGTTCTGTCAACGACAGTATCTCTGTTGACATTTATTCTAAGAAGTAATAGACATAAATTTTTTCTTTTACAACTTAACGAATTAAAATTAAACTATAACCGAAAACTTAAAAACGATTATTTGAAGAATTCAGTGTTTGTTGTAACTGCACTACTCTGGAGTTTCTTACTTGTATTTCCTAGAACATTTGTCAGTGTTGCGTATTACGTCTTGCCGGCAGTAATCGGCCTCTTCGATCACTTGTTTTTGAGTGAAATTTTGGAATTTGTTCGTTTAGAATTAGTTTTAATCAATGAAGAACTACACCGAAAAGCGACTGGAATGCTTTCAATCAGAACAACTAGTATTAAAAATACAGTTATTCATGACCTGAAGGATAAAGAAATCTACTTTATATTGGCTAGAATCGAAGAAATAACTCTTCGTCACTCCGATCTGGTGGTTCTAGCTCTCGATATTAACAAACTATTTGATATCACCACAATTTCCTCTATGATAACATGGTTGGTCTACGTAGTTGACGCAATTTACTATTTAATACATATCGCGGACATATCGTTTTTTGATTTGATATTTACGTGTCTATACGCTCTGCTTTTCTTCTTGTGGCTTCCGGTGATGGCTAGAACGTATAGGCTTGCACGTAAAGAGGTACTAATACCGTCAATTTTTTTTCTTCACTTGATAAAATTTTTCAGGTCAACCAAACATCTGAGTTTGTTCATGACATATGGAATCAACGTTGTCAAACTGGCAACTTAGGCAAAACAATGCTTCATCTTCAGTTAGTTTCGGTAAGGCTGTTCAGTAACAAGTTGTGTTTTACTGCTGGAAATTTTTTTAATCTGGACGAGACCTTCTGCCATATAGTACGTACTTTGAATAAAAAACCCGGAAATAAAAGCGCTTGATTTCAGATGGTTGGTGCAGCTGCGACTTACGTGGTGATTTTACTTCAGTTTTAAATTGACTTTTATTAACAAATAAAATTAATTACAGTTTCTTAATTTTATTGTAACTGTTGTTTCATTTCATTCATTCTGTTGTAACTATATGCTTTTGCTCCTAGAAGATATCGTTCTTTGGCTTAGAATCGTTTTCTTTGGAATTGCCCACTTTACGTGTTGAAAACTAATAAAAATATGGTATCACACTCAAAATATTGGTTGAAAAGTTTGAAGAAATCATAATAGAAAGCGTACACAAACATAGAGAATGCTGGTTCAAGTTGTTAGTTCTTTTGTTGCTAGTGTCTATCTTATTTTGTCTTATAAGTACTTGTTTTCGTAGTTAGTACAATGTAGCACCAGGTATATGTTTCCGAAACAATTTATTTTACAAATTAAAGAAAGTGGTGTACTCTCTACTTATTTTAAATGATTTAAATTATAATAATCTATAGTAATAATAACAATATTTTTTTTCGAAATTGTTGACTTAACGATTTCCTGCACGGTACAGAGCACACCAGGTTTTTGGTTGTTCCAAGACTGTAAAAGTTACATATATAGTAATCGATGGGATTCAGTTCACGTAGAAGTGAAACAGAAAAGGTGACTTCCATTCTTTGGGTTGTTCATCATTGAAATGTTTCATTTAATTAGTAGTATTTGCCTAAGCGATCAAACAAATTTAAATTTTCATAAAGGCTACAAGTCATACCAATACCTCCACAATGTGACAGTTGCCTTCGAAGTTTAAGGTCGTTCAAATGTGTCTTGTCGAAGACATTCCCA